AATGATGCCATTCAGTGATAGTTAAGTAACAAAATATAGATCCATCGTCCTACTGTCAATGCGATAGTCTCACTAACCACAGTTTATCTTTCAAAACACGAACCGAGACCAGGAGAAAAAGAATTTACGATTCGGCTACATCAATTTTTCATCTTATTCGAAAATAAATGAAGCTGACTGGTCTGAGTAGACGCTCATCCACTTAGACCATCTGGTATTATTCGCTTCGCTTCATTTTTAAAGCGAACTCCTGGAAATTGTTGCCATACATTTCAAATAAATGAGAAAACTTCGCGAAGAACTTCAACGCAAATTGCTACCCTACTGAACCCAACCAGTGAGGTCAAACTTTTCCATGTTCAAGAAGAAACTATTGCTTCGGGGCACGGCCTCAAGCGCGCAGTAACCGTAAGCATATCGGTTGACAAAATCTTCATTCGATTCTCGTTTGAGCCACAGCTAAAATTCAGTTTACTTTGCTGGCGACTTCGGCCGTCGATCCTAGATATGTGCTAAACATAAAGCAAGTTAAGTCAACTTGTCATGAGGAAATTACAAAAGGAAAGCAACAACCGGATAATTGTCATGATGAATGTTATATAACAAAAAAATAAAATTTATAGTTGATTCCTTGGATAATGATTCCCTGTTTTATCATAGTTATGTCAATGAAAACTGTTCAAATTTTGTCATCATAAGCAATAAAATATCTTTGAGTTTCTTTTTAAACAAGTTTTAAATTTTCTTCTGTTGAACAAACGGAAATCGAACTTACTATCCGAGAATATTGGTCTAGTATACGCTTCATCTCTTCAAGGTGATTTAGTAGTACTCTGGAAATGACCAATCCCTAGGGTTCAATTTGCTCGGATTTATGTGCACCGGTGGCTCACCTTCCAGGGAATGGTCTCAAACATGTGCGGCTCGTGAGGAATCACCAAACCTATTTTGACTCGAACCAACTGATGAAAGTTCTTCACATATGCTAGGGCAAAGCTTTGTATCAATGAGTACAGCGTCTGAAACGATTGCAACAATAAATAAAAGTAAATAAACACTCAAAACTCACTGGGAACTCTAATGGTTTGTACATTAAGTCACTTCTGCGACTGAGTCCGAGAGCTCCGAATCTCCCGGAAGCGTAAATA